CAGTGCTCGGTAAGGGAAAAGAGACTTTGAGACCGCTTGCATATCAACGAGCTCATTGTCCTGCCCGTGTTGCTCCCAAGACCTCACGCTTCTCCTAGGGAGGCATTGCTGCATTCGTTGGATGTACGAAGAGCTTTGGCCTTTTACATTGACAGAACTCGGGGTTTTCGCAAGACCCCACCACTCTTAGTTGCTACGGCTGGTCTTTCAAAGGGCAACCCCATCTCAACTACTCAAATTTCAAAATTGATAGTGACTTGCAATCTCCAATGCCATTCACTCTGTGGCAAACCTCTGCTAGCCTTACCCAGAGCCCATTCTACTCGGGTTATGGCAGCACCCACGGCATTCTTCAAAAACATTCCGCTACAAGACATGTACCAGGCAGCCACGTGGTCTTCTGATTACATATTATCTAAGCATTATGCAATCATTCCCCAATTGGCAATGATACAGCAGTGGCTACAGCGGTTCTATCTGCTGCTATTAAGTCTCCACGTATGGACACTGCTTGGTAGTCACCATACGTGGAGCACCCACGGGGACATCACCCAAAGAAGAAAAGGGAGTTACCTCTTCGAGGTGTGTCCCTCCGTGGGTGCTCCACGGCCCTCCCTTCCTCCCCGCTACTCAGAGTATGTCTGCTATGGGGTAGATGAGGAATTGAGGGGAGAGGGTCGGGCTGCGCTCAACTGTCAAACTGCCACCAATGCAAGAAAGCATGCGCAGCGCGACTAGCAACTCCAATTTGTAGCTCCAGGAATGTCCGTCACCATACGTGGAGCACCCACGGGGACACAAACCTCGAAGAAAAGTCATTACTTCACAGGGTGAGTAACCCCCTTTTTCCAGTGCCTTAGTAGCCCCTGGATAGAGATGATATGTGTGGAGGGGAGGGCAGATGAGGTTGGTTTCCTCCGCCTCTCCCTCTGGTACTTGGCTTCTACTGAGCAAGCTCAGTATCACTGCTGAAGCTTCTTTCCTCAGCGCCCTCCCCCCCCCCATCCGCATGCTTTCACTCTCTGCCCCCATCATGGCATGCAAAAGTCACCCCCACCACACCAAAATCTGAAATGGCACCCCCTGTGAAAGGGACTGGCTGGGGGTGCACTCGCTCGCCCCTCCCTCTGTGCAATGGGGGGGGTGCTGCAGCCATGTGTACCCAGAAGTCTGCTGCTCTTCCCCTTTCCCTGAAAGCCAGGCAGTGAGAGGAAAGTACACAGCTTGGGCTCGTCTACACTGGCCCCTTTTCCGGAAGGGGCATGTTAATTTCACGAGTCGCAATAGGGAAAAGCGCGGGGGATTTAAATATCCCCCGCGGCATTTAAATAAAAATGTCCGCCGCTTTTTTCCGGCTTTTAGAAAAGCCGGAAAAGAGCGTCTACACTGGCCCCGATCCTCCGGAAAAAGCGCCCTTTTCTGGAGGCTCTTATTCATGACTTCCTCTTGCTCCTGGCTGTCCAGGGGAGGGCAGAGGAGGCTGCAGCAGGTTGTGCACTTTCCCCTCGCACCCTGATAGGGGAAAGAGAAGAAGGGAAGCAGTGACCCAGTATGTGTGGCTGCATCACCTTGTCCCTCACCCCACACTCCCCCCTACACACCCCAGACTCCTGCCCTGACTCCTGAACTCCCAGGCTCCTGTATCCCGGGTGCTGGCTATTTCCCTCCTGCACTCTTGCTCCCAGACTGCACTTCTGCATGTGACCACTAGGTGTCTCTCCCAATCCTCCCTTGCACTAAACAGCCATAGCTACCCTGAAGTCATGGGGCAGCACCACTGGTTATGCGTGGCAGCGCCTCCTGGTGTCAGGGATCCCTAGGAGCCCCATTCAGATGGAGCATTGTGAGGATTCGGGGAACGGTTGCTTGTTCCCCATTTCCAGCTGCTAGAGGGAGAAACAAGTGAACCAGTAAACTTTACGACATTAATTAGAATAGGTCAAAATTAATGGAACAGTTTTCCTATCAGAAAATATTTTTGAACAAAAAAAGTAAAAAAAATGTTCACATAAATTAATTGATTTTATAGAAGTACCTTGTTTCAACAAGCTTGATGGATTTTGTTTTACTGTCACATGACAAATAATTATATAAAATCAAAATTAAGTACATTAATAAACCTTGGGCTACTTGGAAGATCCATGATTTCATCGATGTGAATGGTCTCACCACCAATGCAGATCGCAATTTTCCACACCGTCCTGTTTTGTTCAGTTCTTGTCCATGTCCTTCCATAAATCTTCCATAAAGGATCCACCCACCATCCTGGAGCCCTTCCTCTTGTTCTTTTTATGTTTCGTGGATACCAGTGAAGTATAAGTGCTGTGCATCTGTTGTCTCTCAGTCTCGCTACATGACCATCCCATGTCCTTATCCAACCATACATAACTTGGATGATATTGTTGTCACCACTTCTTGCACACAGATCATCAATAGTAACATGCTGTAGCCTACTTACACCCACCATGTGTCTTTCCATTGCTCTTTGGGTGATTTGCAGCTTTAATTCTTCTATAAATGTCATGTTCCAGGTTTTCACAGTCATAGAGCATTACCGGAAAGATACTGGTATTAAAGAGATGAGCTTTCATGGTGGTGGAAAGTTTAGGATGTACAAAAATACTATGCAGACTCTCAAAGGCAATCCAGCCCGACCTCCTGCTCAACTCTGGACCCAACACATTGTCCATCTGCAACACTTCTCCAATATATACATATTCATCTACCAGCTCGACAGTCTGTCCATCCAACTGCATGACCTACTCTGAAAAATGTGCATTTTTCATCCACTTCGTTTTTCCAGTATGGATGGTCTGGCCAATCTCCTTCACATTCTTACGAATGTCATTGAGGAAGGTGATGTGGATTTTGAAGCAATTAGGACAATGTCATCTGTGAAAAGGAGCAACTGAAGAACCTCGCCATCAATCAGAAATTCATCTTTCACTTTGGTTTTCCACAAGACGTCTTCCAGGACATTGGCAAACAACTTCAGTGAATAAACGTCACCCTGTTTTACACCTTGCTTAACTTTGATGATCATGGATCATCAAAAAGCATTATTTCCATAGTTATGTCCATCATGGAATCTTGTATGATTCTAACATACACAGGGGAAACACCCTGTGAAAAGAGAGCACTTAAAACTGCATTTTGTTCCACTGAGCCAAGGTTTTTTTAAATGAATAACAAGCATAGTGGGATCTTGTACTCTTTAAACCTTTTGGACATCTGTGTGACCACAAAAATATGGTCCACTGTGGAGAATCCCCTATGAAAGTCTGCCTGTTCCCTTATCATGTTTTCCTCGAGGACACCCTCAATATGGACAGAGATCATTCTCATAAAGACCTTATAAATATGAAAAAGCAGACAGATGGGTCGATAGTTGCAAATGTCGTCTCAGTCACCTTTTTTCAGCAGAAGAATAGTTTGAGATCTCTTTCAGTCTTTCAGAATTCTCCCCTCTTTGATGCATCTTGAGAATCTCACGCTAAGTGCTTTAAAAGTGTATCACCTTCTGCACAAAGTTTTTCTATGTGTACTTGGTCTAAACCTGATGCTCTTCCCAACTTCATCTTCTGAAGGGCTGCTGCCACTTCTTCACAGAGCACATAAGGTTCAGGGGTGACGGAGCCCAGGTATAATGGCTCCACTGTTGTTGCTGATGAAAATAGCTCACTATAAAAGAACAGGCAAATTTGTTCCATTTCACATCTGTTTGTCATTTTACTACTGTTTTTGTCAACAAACGTGCTTGGAAGAGTTTGGCTTAACTGGATTTCACATTGAGTTCTTTGCAAACTCGTTTTCTCTTCAACTGCCATTTGCTTTTTCGCAAGCCGATACTGCTCATAATCATCTATCATCTTTTTTCTCAACATTTTATAGACGAACTTATACTCCAGGCTGGTATTGCCCTTGGCTGCCATGTCTCTCTGCTTGGCAAGAAGATCAAGTGTTTGCTGGGCAATATGATTCCTGGATTTCTATGGCTTCTTCACAGTGGCAGCAGTTTTACGTTTGTCCAACTTCACCAAAAAATGATAGTAATTGGAATCAATATATTTCATTCCAGCCATTTCCTATGACTCAGAGTCAACAGCATACTTAAACCGACCTGAGCAGAACTATTGTCCCCACATGCAATGTCTAACACTGATAAGGACATTAATATTTCTAGAACAAAATTTTCCAGAGAATCGTGGGGTGGGGGTTTTTGTTTTTAACAATTTGAGAGAAAAGAAAATTCTAGGATTTTTCCCTGTGGAACACAAATCCTGAGTTTTGACTAGCTCTAGTGTTAATGATTTATAGCAGACTGTTTATTTCAGATTAGAATGTAGGAAATTATTGGCAGTGTAATGGTCCACCGAGTCCAAGTACAGGGGAGAGATAATAAAATATTTGATGGTGAACAACTAGATTATGAAAATTAGGTAAGTAGGCAACCTGGACTAAGGAGAATGTAGCACTTTAAAGACTAACAAGATGGTTTATTAGATGATGAGCTTTCGTGGGCCAGACCCACTTCCTCAGATCAAATAGTGGAAGAAAGTAGTCACAACCATATATACCAAAGGAAACAATTAAAACTTTTTTTAATTGTTTCCTTTGGTATATATGGTTGTGACTACTTTCTTCCACTATTTGATCTGAGGAAGTGGGTCTGGCCCACGAAAGCTCATCATCTCATAAACCATCTTGTTAGTCTTTAAAGTGCTACATTGTCCTGTATTTTCCCTGAAATCAGGCATTCACAGTGAAACTCATTATACAGTCTTGAAATAGCACAGACATGCAACCCTGCTCAGATTGCAGGGGAACGGAGGATTGGAAAAATAATCATAAATGCAGAGAAAGGAAATCTCAGAAAAACAGCAACAGTCCCAGGCTAGATTAAGCGATAGGTGCTACTGGCCCATGACAAGGACTCTGGCTCTGGAAAGCACCTCAGGTCTCGCAGTTCTAGTCCTCATGGATGCAAACAGGGAACTTGACAATGTGGCAGGAGTGCAACTGTTTTAATACTAGATCCTACAAGCCAGTGATAGAAGAACCAGGGGTCTTTACTGCCGGGACCCCCAGCTCTAATCCTCACTCCTACCCCTTCCCAGCCTGAAGATTTAACCCACAATCACACTGCCTGGAGAGATAGATGGGAGGCTGGTTTAGAAATTCTGATCCTGCTGCTGCAAGCGCTTTAATGAAGGTGGACTCATATCCTGCAAAAAGCTCTTCCTTGTCCCACAGCGTGATGGCAGCTTCTGCCTCCCGGCCCACAGGTCAGCCCTGCAAGGAACAAGAGACAGCGGCATGGTTCTGGAGGGGTGGGAGGGAAAACACAAACTCCCAGGAGAGTTTGGATCTCGGCTGAGTGGGATCAGGCCGTCTCTACATGTGGATTGAACTTGAACTTCAAGCTCCCAGAGTTGCAGATTTCCAGCATCACTGGAGCTTCCCCCAGTGGCAAACCCTGCAGCCAGCTGCACTGGTGCCCATCAATGTCTCTCCTTTCCCCACCGCTTGCTGGCAGGGGCGTAACCAGGAGTAGGCCTGGGTGGGCCTGGGCCTACACACTTAGCATACAGGCCCACTCACCCACAGCTCTATCTCTATCCCACTACAGGGCGGGGGCTTGCCCCTCTACGCCCAGGGCTCTAGCCGGGCCAGGGGCGTAGGGTCAGAGGCTCCGCCACCCAGCGCTCCTGAAAAGGAGCAGAGTCGGGAGCTTGCAAGCCTCCATGTACAACCCAAATCCCCTGCTGGGAACGCTGTTGGTGAGCAGGGCAAGAGCCTGATTCCGCCTCCTCTGTAGCACCCAGGAGGTGGAAAGGGGCAAGCCGCTGCAACAACCTCCATTCCCAGCAGAGGACTGAAGGGAAGAGAAGTGGATAGCAGGTTCAGGGTACAGATTTTTATGGAGCTCCCATTTTATGGGGTCCCTGGCCAGACCACCTCCCTATCTTCCAAGGATGGCAGGAATAGAGGCAGCCCCATGGCTGATACCCCACCTGTCATTGCTCACCCTACGGTCCCATTCTGGCTACCCCACTGCTTCTTGGCCTCCCAGAGCTGAATCCAGGCTAAGCCCAAATATAGACACAGGATTGGACTTCCCAGAACAGTTAAATGAGTAAAGAGCAGACATCTCAGACTTTCAGGGGCTTGTGCTCCTGGTTTGCATGTAGCTTTCATACCAACTTAACTAGATTCAGGTTTCACATCTGCCCAGTGCCGGGGAGTCCTGACCCACAGCCCTCTTTGCTCCAACCACTAGACCTTATCCTGCTCCACATCCAGAGCCCAGAATAGAACCCAGGAGGCCTGACTCCCAGTCTAGTGCTGTAACCCTGCCAGGATCTAGCCTGTGTTCTGGTTGCACCTGGTGCTGGCTCAGTGAAGATCTCAAGGCCATCAGCTCTCTTACCACTTTGCTGCTGGTGGCTAAAGTGGACATGGAGACCTCCGAGTAGGACATGGATTTGCCGGTAAACCATAGATTGTATTCCTCCTGCACCTGAAGATGCAGAGACAGACAGTGGCATCACTCCACTAGCACATGGGAGATCTCTTCTCTGAGTGCCTTAGCCCCATTTCTAACATGCCCATCACCTCAGCATCAGGGAGAATTACAACTATTTATGCTCCCCCTCCTCTATGCCCTGGAAAAAGTTAGAGCTTTCTGTGACAGCAGAAAATACCCTTAGGCGTTCGCTACACTACTGCTTTTGCCAGAAAAGGAAATGCAAATGAAGCAGTGGTGCTGATCAGCATCTCTCCTGTCCCCACTGTTTGCTGTCAGAGGTGAAGCCAGGAGTGGGCCTGGGTGGACCTGGGCATATCCACTTAACATCTAGGCCAAACCTCCCACAACTCTGTGTCTGTCCCACTGAAATGAGGGGGCTTACCCCTGTCTGGCCAATACTCCAGCTGGGCCAGGATTGGGGGCTCTGCAGTCCCACGCTCCTGACTGGGAGCAGACTTGAGGACCTGCAAGCCTCCATCCCCTGCTGGGAGTGCTGGTTGGTGAGCAGGGCAAGCCCCTGACCACCCACCCCTCTGGAGCACCCAGCAGTTAGACAGGGGCAAGGCCCTGCAAAAAAAACCCCATTCCCAGCAGGGGAGAGAGGGGAAGAGAGGTGGGTGGGGGGTACAGGGCACAGATATTTATGGGGACTCCAAATTTATAGGGTCTCTGGCCAGAGCATCTATCCCTCCCCTGCTTCCAAGGCTGGCAGGGGGAGAGGCAGCCCCATGGCTGCTACCCCTCCGGTCATTGCTCACCCTACTGTCCTATTCTGGCTGCTGCTACCCCTCCGGTCATTGCTCACCGTACTGTCCCATTCTGGCTGCCCCACTTCTTGTTGGCCTCCCGTAGCTGAATCCAAGCTAAGCCCAAATATAGATACGCTGCTCCACAACCTAGAATAGAACCCACGAAGCCTGACTCCCAGTGCAGTGCTGTAACCCTGCCAGGATCTAGCCTGTGTTCTGGTGGCACCTGGTAATGGCTCAGTGAAGATCTCAGGGCCATCGGCTCTCTTACCACTTTGCTGCTGGTGGCTGAAGCAGACATGGAGACTACAGAGTAGGACTTGGATTTGCAGGTAAACCATCGCTTGTATTCCTCCTGCACCTTGCAGAGACAGATAGTGGCGTCACGCCGCTAGCACATGGGAGATCTCTTCTCTCAGCGCCTTAGCCCCATTTCTAACATGCCCATCACCTCAGCATCTCGGCATTACGCAAATCAACAAGAGCTGCATTTAATCCTGCTTGATAAAAGGGAGTCGAGTTCCCCGCCTCTGTTTTCCCCCCCCCCCCCCCGCCTCTGTGCCCTGGGACAAGTCAGAGCAGCCCTGGGGTTGCTCTAACACTCTGCTTACTGTGGCAGCAGAAAATACCCATAGTGCTTTGCACCCAATCCTCCCCCTGCAGCTGAGGCAGAGCTTCATAGGAGCTGTGCATGGAAGGGGATTCTCAGGACGCCATTTTCCCCAGCAGGGGAGCCAGGCGGATTGTTTCAGGGAAGTTCTCCAGGAAACCGAGAGGCTAAGTGGTTTGACCAAGGAGCCGACAGCACCGCAGGGAATTGTGCCCAGGTCTCCTGAGTGCAAAGCTTGTGCTCCAGCCTCTGGGCTATTCTTCCTCTCTCAACAAGGGGCATCTTCATTGCTCTGCTACTGGGGATCCCTGGGGGAAAGGCTGGGGGGGATCTTGCACAGCAGGCTCAGTGAAGCATTGTTAGCCCGCCCTGCTCTCCTGTGGAAGGGGCTCTGCCAAGTCCAGGAGGGGACGAAGGGCTCTGGGGGTACCTGGCGATTGAGGAGGCAGTGCACCAGGAAGATGAAGACCCCCTGCAGGCTGTTGAGGATGGTGAATAAATACGCCATGACCACGGCGGCTGGGCCGGTTTGGAAGAGACCGAAAATCCACGTGCAGCCCAGAATGAAGACTTGGGCGATGGCTTTAAAGGTCAGGAGCCTGGAGAGAGGCAGACAGAGAGATCCAATGCAGCAGCTCTCTGGAAGCGGCTGAGTCTGGGGGGTCCAGGGTGAAATGAGGAATGCCTCCAGAGAGCCAAGCTCCATCATTGCCCTGTACAGGTGTGAGAGCGGCTGGCCTGGAGACTTTGAAAGATCAATGCACAAGCTGCTCCAGTTGAAAGAAAGAGCCAAGGGTTGCTAAAGGGTGGGACGGATTCGGACCCTGTTTTGCTCAGGCAAACGGGGCCCTTTAACATCCCCAGTAGTGCTGGCTGTGGACATATATAAAGATAGTGAGGGGAAAGTCCCCTGGGAGCAGATCTCCACCTGGTTTAAATCAGATCTCATAGAGTGACAGAAGCTTCTACAACTGGAGGGTTTGTCTGTCTTGGCTTCGCAAGAGCACCTGTCTCTGCACAGAGTGTTCTCGGGCCTTTACCACTCCTCGGATGAGGGACACATACAACGGGGTGTCCAGCACTGCTCTTGGGGGACAGTCTATCAGACTGAGTAGACCCAAGAGCTGGCACAGCGCTCAGGGAGGGTCAGAAGTCCTACAAAATTATGCTGCCAGTAGCAGAACTAGGAATTGAACCCAGGAGTTCTGACTCTCAGTTCTTTCCACTTGATTCCACTCCACATCCACAGCTGGGATCAGAACCCAGAAATCCTGACTCCCACACTGCCCCTCCCAATTACCATAGAAGGGAGGGGTAGCTCACTGATTTAAGCCGTGGCCTACTAAGCCCACAGTTATGGGTTCAATCCTTGAGGGGGACATTTAGGGTTCTGGGGCAAATCTGTCAGGGATGGTACTGGTCCTGCTGTGAGGTGACTGGACTTGATGACCTCTCAAGGTCCCTTCCAGCTCTATGAGATAGATAAATAATATAATAATGTCCTTAGCTCTGCCTTTAAAAGTACATTACCTGGTGTCTTTGAGGGTGGACACTTCAGAGTTGAGACTAGAAAGTTTTCTCTGCAGCATCCAGAGGGTTACGGCAAAAATGACAGAACTGATCTAGAATCAGAGCAGAGCAGGGTCACTCATACCAATTTGTCTCAGGCTCTGGGGAAAGGATGTGACAGGTGGGGGGGTTCTCTACATGAGCACAAGACACAAATTGTCACCAGCAGCAAGAGTGTTGCTATTTGGCATGATTATTCGGCCAGCTCCCCAGCTCGAGCAAATCAGCATTGCACCACTGAAATCAATGGAGCAATACTGACTGATGCCAGCAGAGGATCTGGTCTGATTACTGCATGTCCCAATGGGACGTGTGCTAAGCCTCATCACATGAACTGGCTTTCACAGGCTTGAGCTGGGAGCTCTTATCACTCCATTTCCTCACTGAGCCAAAACCCTCCTGGGTATAGACTCCTTTGAGGTCTATAGAGGTCTATAGCATTAAACCAGGGGGATGACTGGAACAGGGTGGAATCAGGCTCTAAACCCCTCTAATGATGGCTTCTGGCCTTGCCACACCCTGCCCCAGAAGGGAAGCTACAGAGAAGTCCTCCATGCAGGCTAGAGTGGCTGCAGGAGAAACCAGCCAATCAGGTCCCAGGAAGGCCCATAACCGCAGGTGGAGACCAGTATAGCAGTCAGTATCTCTGGTGCCCTGAGGTGTGTAGATGGGACTGGCTGGCTGAGAGAGCAGCAGCACCATGGACAGCTCAGTGTGGGGAGCTATTGAAGTTGGATTATGATGGGCCCTGCTAGATGTGTACAGCTCTGATGTAGGGGTAAGGACATAGTCTCCAGGAGGGGAAGCCCTGGCAGCACTGCTCTCTGGGGGTATGTCTACACTAAAAAGTTAATTCAAACTAACAGACATTAGTTCGAATTAACTTTGATAGGCGCTACACTAGCGCTCCGCTAGTTCGAACTTAATTCAAACTAGCAGAGCGCTTAGTTCGAACTAGGTAAACCTCATTGTACGAGGACTAAGCCTAGTTTGAACTTACTAGTTTGAATTAAGGGGTATGTAGCCCCTTAATTCGAACTAGTGGGAGGCTAGCCCTCCCCAGCTTTCCCTGATGGCCACTCTGGCCAACACCAGGGAAACTCTTCTGCCCCCCTCCCGGCCCCCGACCCCTTAAAGGGGCACGGGCTGGCTATGGTGCCTGTGCCAGGTGCAAGCCTGCCAGCACCCAGCCAGCAGACCCTGCACCTGGCACGGCTCAAGCCAGCCACCCGATGCCCCCCAGCCCTCCCCCTCTTCCCGGGACCAGGCTGGCGGCTCCCGGGAGCTTGCCCAGGACCGCAAGAGGCGGGCACCCG